CCAACATATTGCATTTTTCCCAGGCTGGGGCTTCACACTGACCATACAGGATGGACAGTAGAGCCTTTTCCCACAGTAATTGTTAGTTGCGCTCTAATACCGTGGTTTCTCATTTCTGTTTTGTATGATCATACATACACACAATTTAAAGTATAATACTGCCAACCATTATTGCTTGATCACATAATAAGCGGAATGGATCTTTCACAATGAGCAGGCCAGGCTGATGGTGAAATACTACACAAACAGCCTCCACTAAAACACCACTTAGTTAGATTATACTGTTCTTCATAACTAAGAAATACTTGTGGGAGTGAGTGTGATGGAAAGTGTAAACATAGGAAACTTGAAGACACAAGTTGTAACGAGGCTGAGAAAGATACAGTGGTATTAACAATGAGAAAAACATTTCCCGGTAAGAAATCAGAGTAGCTTACATAATGCAGATATTGTTACAAGAAAAGTCTCTACATAACGATTGTATAGACAGCAAAAATTTGACTTCAAAAGAAAATGTGTAGTGTTTGTATTGCCATTATGCTGTCCTAAGGCATTCCATGGTTGTATTGTACAAATGATGTGGAATAATGCCTGATCAAGGTCATGTGTCAAGTATTTATTGATGCTTATTACTGTTACATAAGTTTAAACAATAAAGATACTAACAAGTCTGGACAGGGGATGTTAGGAAATATACTGCATGAGGTTAACAGCTAGTTTGGTTAGCTTAGAATGTTTGCATTCCGACAGTGGCACCGATAGTGTCAGTGACACAAATGCACCGCAAGCACAAACACCTGGACACATGTACACATGCATACACACACTCACAGAAAGCATACAGAAAGAACCCAGATGAAAATAATTATAATACTCCCAGTCCCAGTTCTTGTTAAGCCCCATTGTTAAAGATCTGTGAAATGGATTTAGTGCTTGGGAATTAAATCCTGGTATGGCTAAAATAGCACATTGAAGAGACGCCCCTTGGTGGTTTGTTAAAGCACACCAGAGGCTGTAGGTCAGGCCCAATGGCAGCAGAAAGTGTTTGTGTGTGTGCAAGTGCCTGCGGGTGTGTGGTTTATCCTGTAGTTAATAACCAAGATCACATTTATACAATCCCCTTGACTATATAGTTAACATATAACCCCTTTCCATTAGCCTTGTTTCAGATATTTCTACACAATTTCCCTTCAAGTCCTCTAGATGGCAATAATATCTCTGTACATGTTTTTTAAGTTCTGGAAAGGCAGCATTTTGTTGGAACAGGGTTGAGTGAGTTAGATGCACTCCATCAATTTCTGCAGACTCAAAGCAGATCAGAGAAACTCCTCTCTGATTCTTGTCAGATGATTGATGAGTACTTTGCATTGAATTGTTATTATATGTATTGTCACAAAAACATTTTTTGTAGATGCCCGCAAATTGCAATCCATTCTGAAATGCAGTACATTTGGTCATTTTAGAGTGATTCTCTTTTTTCATGAATAAATAATCTGTTTATAGTACAGATGGATTTGGGAAAGCCAGAGTGTGTATCACATCTATACTGTTTTTACAGGGGTCTGGGCTAGAATTCAAGAGAGAAAATCAACTTTTGCCTGTTTTATTGATTTTCAGAAGGCTTTCAATTGGGTGAATACAGACCTCCTTGATTTTAGACAAATTAAAATTGGAATTGATGGAAGATTCTATGATGCTATCAAAGCTCTTTATCGAGCTCCAGTTGCCTGTGTTCAGGTCAATGACCTCAGAACTGGCTGGTTTCCAACCCATTACTATGTAAAGCAGGGAGACATACTCTCACCCACTTTATTTGCACTATATGTTAATGATTTAGCCCTACAAATCAAACATGCTAAACTTGGTGTTGAAGTTGTGGATATATTCCTGGGCATCTTGTTGGGCATCTGATGACATAGTTCTCCTTGCCGAGCATAAGATGACCCCCAGAACACACTGAGTGTACAAAACATTAGGAACACCTCCCAAATATTGAGTTGCACCCCATTTTGCCCTCAGAATTCGTCGAGGCATGGACTACAAGGTTTCGAAAGCATTCTACAGGGATGCTGGCCCATGTTGACTCCAATGCTTCCCACAGTTGTGTCAAGTTGGCTGGATGCCCTTTGGGTGGTGGACCATTGTTAATACAAACAGAAAACTGTTGAGCATGAAAAACCCAGCAGTGTTGCAGTTCTTGACACACTCAAACGGGTGCGCCTGGCACATACTACCATACCCCATTCAAAGGCATTTAAGTATTTTGTCTTGCCCATTCACCCTCTGAATGGCAAACATACACAATCCATGTCTTAATTGTCTCAAGGCTTAAAAATCATTATTTAACCTGTCTCCTCCCCTTCATCTACACTGATTAAGGTGGATTTAATAGGTGACATCAATAAGGGATCAAAGCTTTCACCTGGATTCACCTGGTCAGTCTATGTCATGGAAAGTTGTTTTGTACACTCAGTGTATATTCAATATTGTTAATTTATGGTGTACTAAATGGAGATTAGTGATAAATCAAGATACAATCCAAATTGTTCATTTCAGAAAGAAGGGCGTGCAGAGAAGTGCATACAACTTTTGTTTTGGTACAACCCTATTATTCTACACTGGGCTCTATAAATACTTTGGCTTCACTCTGGATGAATGCATGACCTTTGAAGGTGGCATTAGATCACCAGCAGATTCTGCAGGTAGAGCCTTGGGGTCAGTGTTAAACAGAATGAAAGTATGTAAGGACCTTGGTTAGTGTGCTTATTCTCAGCTGTATAAATCCTGTGTGTCCAGTTATGGACTATGATGCTGGGGTATGGGGATCCAAAGTACGTACTAATTGTAACAATGTTCAAATCACAGCAATCGGCTGCTTTCTTGGTGTGCATAAACTGACTCCGAACCTAGCCATCTGTGGAGATATGGGTTGGAAACCGTGTGTGGTTAGGCAAAAGGGTGACATGGTACATCTATGGAACAGACTGATAAATATGCCAGAACACAGAATCACAAAAAAGTGCTTGACTGGGACCTTACTCATAACTATCTGTGGGCTGGAGAATCTATTTTTGTGAAACTGATTTGCAATATATATTCAAGAACAAATTACCATGTGGGGTTAACCAAATCAAGTACAAGCTTTTTCTGATCCACAACGGAAAATGGGCAGCTGATATTTGGTTCAAACCTAAACTTAGAATGTATACTCTTCTCAAAGAGAACTACAGCCCTGAACCATATGTAAATCTGAATCTAACAAAAGCCCCAAAGTTAGTTTGTGTGCAGCTAAGATCCGGTCCCCTCCCTGTGACACTACAGACAGGTAGATTCAACAGAATCCCTGAAGAGGAAAATGTTTGTGTTTTGTGTGATCTTCTGGGAAATAGAAAGGGACTTTCGTTTTTCTGCAGAAACTGAGTTTTTGACATTGCACAATCTATTTTCAAAGCCTGCGGGAGAAGAGGTGTATTCCTTGTGTAGTGTGACAAGGTGAAAACTGTACTTTTTTATGAGTGCTAATTATTAATTTAATTGTTTAATGCATTTAATTTGTTCAATGTAAAACATTTGTTTAGTGTTTTTTGCACACATACTTGCCATGGTGTTTTATAAGCCCATATGGGCTGGGAACCAATTGGTGTACGACAGAAATAAAATCAATCAATCTACAGTGTATTTCTTTAGTGACACATTTTTACTGAAACCAAACCTGCAGGATCTATAGTCTATTCCGTCAATAGTGGTTAACTTACAAATTCAGTTTTTCCAGTTTACACCTCTGTACATGGACGTATAAAACAGCAAAGACACGTTGCTATAGAGTTCAAAGGTTTCATTTCTGGAAAATGTTTCAGAGCATCATATCATTACACTCATTTGACAAGATAGAACATGCAAATAAGCAACTGAAAAGCACGATCAGTTCTGAAGCCAGGGCCTACATTGGCCCTGCCCGTCCTACCTCTATCCCTCCCTCCTTTTCTCTCTCCCTCCCTCCCTTCCCCTGCCAAACAGGAACTGTAGGATCTTTCAGAATAACTTTCTCAGGAGACAGGAATGTTTGAGCACAAGCCCTGGTGCCTGCTGGAACATGCTCCTGACATTCCCTAAAACTCCCAGAAAAAAAGCCCTTACTGAGGATGATGTATTCACCTTTCCTTTAGTTTTAAACCCAGGAGGGATAGGGATTCAACCCCCCCCTAAACGCTGCCATGACTCAATCACCAAAAGCTATAGAAACATCCTCCTTTCCCTAAAGAATCAAGTGCTGAATGCCATAATGCTGCCATCTTGTGACCTGGTGTACATGTACAGTATAATGTAGCCCAGACACACAGTGACTCACCACTGAAATGAAGCCGTCTGGAATGCTATCTTGAATGGCTGCAGGACTCGTGTTCACATGAGACTCTGACTTCTTTACTCAGATGTGGAAGTGACACACAACCAACCTCTCTGACCGTGTCTTCTTTAGAAGTAAGGTCATGAAGGATATCTGTTTTTGCGATTGTATTTCCTTGTACCAAATCAGTCTGGTGTAAGTCAGTGGTATTTTATTAAAAACGTATGTACAACAATTACAATCATAGACTCAAGGGAGGTAATGATAATGAACTGAATGGGTGTACAAAACATTAGGCTCTTTCCATGATATAGACTGACCAGGGGAATCAAGGTGAAAGCTTTCATCCCTTATTGATGTCACCTGTTAAATCCACTTCAAATCAGTGTAGATGAAGGGGAGGAGACAGGTTAAAGTAGGATTTTTAAAACTTGAGACAATTGAGACATGGATTGTGTATGTGTGCCATTCTGAGGGTGAATGGGCAAGACAAAATATTTAAGTGCCTTTGAATGGGGTATGGTAGTAGGTGCCAGGCGCACCCGTTTGAGTGTGTCAAGAACTGCAACACTGCTGGGTGCCAGACGCCCCGACAAATAGAGACTGCTCTGAGGGCAAAAGGAGGTGCAATTCAATTTTAGGAAGGTGTTCATAATGTTTTGTACACTCAGTGTATATAATGCATTTCAACAGTTTTCTAAGCATTACATTTTTTTGGAACAAGTACATAATGTATAAATTGCACACACATTTATTTTCTGAAATCTCCAGGTTGCTTTTTTTATACAAGAATAAGGTTAGTTTAAGTTCTAATTCATAAAGCTAATGAAATGAATAACTTGCAATATCCCAACACAAATAGGTTTTTCTTTTTGAGTTGTCCATAGTTTATACAAAAACATGAAGTTACTGTATTGAACAGATTTGGTGAATTTGTTAGCACTGTATACAGTAGATAATTTATTAGACTGAAAATAGGATCCAGGTTCGTTAAAAAACATACAGTATAAATACACAATCATGAAAGTAGTGGCATCTTCACCGCATTAAATGAAATATGGCACATTTAATGAAATATAATGGCACATTTCTTTTCTCCAACTATCATCCCACATCACCATCTATTTCAGAGATAGATATGCTATTGAAAAGGCTGGGACAGGCTGGGACAGAAATTGAGAAATAAAGACATCACTGCAAAATTTGCTTGTCCCCTGAAATTGAAATAACTCCCCTTTCCACTGGCAGGGAATAGACTCATGGAGATGCACTCAATGGTTCAACCATATAGAGTAGCTAAGTATTCCTGCATTCCTGTTCTCGAGTCTACACTTTCACCAACATTGTCTCCTTGGTGCTCTCATTCCTTGAAAAGCATGGATCTGCCGTTGTATTGCATTCAAATGCTACGTCTCAAAGTTAATTCTTTCTCCAGGAAAGCTCTCTGTAGTTTTATTTGACTGACCAGAAGCTGGAGGTGGGAGTGGTGGTACTTGGAGACTCTTTGGGAGCTTGGTTTGGGCTGTGGCCGTAGCTGGGGGAGTAAGTGACACTTGGGCTGCTGGGTGGAGAAGATGTAGACGAGGAGCATGAGGAGGATTTCGATTTGATCTGAAACCACTTCTCTCCCAAGGCCTTGGCAAAATGGTCATCCACAGAGACGCTGATGGAGAGATGGCGGGAGCTGGCCATTTGGTAGTCCATCCCCAGGCTTCTCTTGAAATGTTCCTCCACAACATGGTCATAGCTGTGCTTAGATAACACTACAATGGAAAGAATACAACAAAGGTCAGAGGCATAGTTCTTAACAAGTCTGCAATATAACAGCAGCATTGTAGCATTAGTTTTTATGAAATAAAAGGAGTATGAGACTGACCTGTGGAGGAGTGGCTACTGCTGCCGACCTCAGAACTGCAGGTGGGCTTTCTTGTGGAGGAGACACAGGTGATCACAGAAGGACGCACCTAAAAGAGGCAAAATCATTGGTAAATTTCACAACAGTATACGATTCTGTACAGAACAATGTAGTTGAAATTCTCATTCCCCCCAAAACAATAGGATTAACATGTCAATGTAAACATGATACATTTCACCATCACTAACTCTTTGTCAAGGGTTCAGTTTGAGTTTTTGGAAACAAAATTAATTTGGTTAAAGGATGGGACCTGAAAGCTGTTCACCCTCATCAGGGTGGCACAAACAGGTCAAAGAGAGAGGTGTCTGTTTGGTCTTACTGATTACCTTCCTACCACCATTGCTTACATTCTCAAATCAGGCTGGATTGGATATCATGGTCAAGCAGAGTCCCATAAAGGCTCTTGGGAATAGAATGTGCCTGAGCGTTTAGAATCCATACAGAGATCTCAGAGATATGTAGGCTCTGACTGCCTAGGGCTACACTGGGAGATTACAAAGGCACATACAGTGTGACTGACACAAACCAGAAATTCCATATTTCAAGTTGTTAGCACCTGGACCCACTATTATAATTGTTCCTCTTGAAATTACCTGTATCTGATTGATGGCGCTAGTGCTTTTGGTTTTCTCCTCTGTCATCTCAGGCTCTTTCCTTGGTTTCTTAATTAGGTCCAGTGGTTCATCGATAGGTGGTGTGGAATACACATGGCGGGGCAGATGACCTGTGGGACTCGGGGTTGGGCTCCAGGAGGATGTGGGGCTCTGGGGAACACTGAACACAGCTGACCTTCTCATGTTGCTCCTGCTTTGTGCCCTCTCTCGCCTGAAACACAAAACCACACATCGAAACATGGAATCACACACTGGACATGGAGTTATGAAACCAGTGGTTGTCAATTATGATGTTATAAAGGTGGATAAGGCATGGGGAGATTTTACAAACCTTTCTTCCAGTGTTAGACCACACTCAAAGCTGTGCTTGCGCTTGACCGGATGCACTGGTGGCACTCGAACTCTCTCATTGGCCATATGCCTGAATCTATCTTCACTTCTTAGGTTGGGCTGACCTACAAGAGGAAAGATCAAGCAAAAGTAAAGCTCATGGTTACTATTTGAAATAATATACAGTATAAATATTGGCAGAGATATTGGCACAGATAAGGATGGCGTACACCTAACTGTAACCAACTGAAAAGACATTAGGTGTGGCAATGAGTAAATAGGTGACTGGTTGTTTTGGTCTGTGGGACTGTGACATATGGTGTATCACCTGTATGAGTGGTTCGTGGGAAAGCTTTCATGCCACCGTTAATTGTAAACTCCGTTAAGCTGTGGAACTAGATCAACCAGATTGGTGAGTATTACAACTCTTTCCAGCTGATTCAATGTGAACGGTAAATGTTGTTTTTCTACATACAGTGATGATGACACCCATCTCATTTACATATCTAAGAGAGAAAGATTAGTTTCTACTCAAAATGTGGATTGAACTGGACAAACTTAACACTTCAGTTGCTAATGCCTTAATCAAAGTATTACTTCTTACTAAAAGATAACTAAATGTCTCACAACTGTCATTACAATACACACATCATACAGAAGCTTTCTCCTTATTGTGAGAAACTAACTGAAACACATCAGCAGGTGCTAACATCCTTTTTGTTACTGACAGAGAGATCAATGTGAAGTTTATCAATACATTACACTGGTATTTGTATTTTGTAAAGCTGACACCAGCCCTCTTCATACCTCATATCATGTTGTTTCTTTCAAGCTAAATTCCTTGAACTATATTCAAATTAGCATTATCAATATGCCAAAAGAAATCCACCACATTGGCATGCAATGCTCTACTACCACATTGAGATGCAATGCTGAATGATTAGGTCATGTTATTACATGAATGGTCCCCCTAACCTCAAATACTCCCCCAATCCACAATCCTCAATCCAATCCACATCCCAAACAGTACTGTCCCTCAATCGCAACTTCTCACCTATGACCTCCCCTTCTATCCCTCGGACAGCAGAGTGTCACAGGGGAGGCCTGTGGTGGGGGACTGGGGGAAAACCACACCTTGCCTGACTGACTTTCTGATGCCTGAGGCATGGTTATTTGTTTCCCATGCAGGAGTAAAGGTACAAGAGGGCAGTATCTTCAGAGCATCTCCATCTGCCACAGTTATTCTCAGCATCTGACCTAATCCCCCCTGAAATAATGCTTGAGCACATTGACACATTTTAGGAAGTTGAAACTGCACCAAAGTTTATACAGTGAGGTGTCATTATCACACTTGTCTACATGATCTATAACTCAGACTGTAAAAGTGAACATTTGTCTTGGTTTCTTAAATGAAAGTGTTCAAATTGTTTTGGAACGGATTACATATGTTTGTGTGTTTATACAATTCAAACCATCAGCTAAAATGCACTAATTGACATTCACACAGACTTAGTAAAAGTTATTTTATAATGGCCATAAACATTTGCATTTCTAAAAATATTATGTGAACTAATTACTAACTAATAACCATCTAATATGGTCCAAGCACACCAAGACAGTTGTGAAGAGGGCACGAGAACACCTTCCCCCCCCTCAGGAGACTGAAAAGATTTGGCATGGGTACCCAGATCCTCAAAAAGTTCTACAACTGCACCATCGAGAGCATCCTGACCGGTTGCATCACCGCCTGGTATTTTAACTACTCGGCATCTGACTGTAAGGCGCTACAGAGGGAAGTGCGTACGGCCCAGTACATCACTGGGGCCAAGCTTCCTGACATCCAGGACCTGTATTCTAGGTGATGTCAGAGGAAGGCCCGAAAAATTGTCAAAGACTCCAGTCACCCAAGTCATAGACTGTTCTCTCTACTACCGCACGGCAAGCGGTACCAGAGTGCCAAGTCTAGGACCAAAAGGCTCCTTAACAGCTTCTATGGCCACCCGGAATATTTACATTGACCCCCACTTTACAAATTACCTCGACTAACCTGTACCCCCACACATTGACTCGGTACCGGTACCCCCTGTATATAGCCTTGTTATTGTTATGTAATTTTCTTGTGTTACTTTTTGATTATATTTTATTTTTACATTTAGTTTATTTAGTAAATATTTTCTTAACTCTATTTCTTGAACTGCATTGCTGGTTAAGGGCTTGTAAGTAAGCATTTCACGGTTAGGTCTACACGTGTTGTCTTCGGCGCATGTGATAAATAAAATGTGATTTGATTTGATAATAACAACTGTGTCATCATACATGATAACAATGCATGTTGCAGCTATGAAGACTGCTATTTAAAGTAGCACAGATCACAGCAGCACAATTATATTTTGTGAAACAATAGTATAAGAAAATAAATAAGAAATATTACCTTCCAAGATGTAAACTTTGAAACCACTGCTCATCCGAGTTATGTATTGGAAATTTGCAACAGCCATGGCTCCTTAATTGTCTTTGTCTGTGAATAAAGCCAACTGCAGAGGACCACCTTGTCTGTTTGAGCTAACAGGACACAATGAGCCTAAGTTCTGGTTGGTAATGGAAAGGCAATGAGATGCTTGGCTAGAGCTTGCCCAGGTAACGTATCAGGAGGCTGTACAGAGCTGCTGTGTCTTCCAGGAAACGATATTCCTGCATTGTCATTGGTTGTTCCCAAGCCAATCACAACCTCCCCCCTTTTAGATGTTTTTGTTATTGTTGCAGGAAGAGTGTGATCACAGGTAGGTACATCAGATAAGTAAAATAATGGTAAACTGTTCTATGACTGTCCCTGCACCACCCAACCAAGCATCTACTTTACTTATCCAGAAGACTAGCTATGTCAGGAATAAACAGGATTGTAGTATAGATTACTCTACACACAAGTTACATTCAACAGAGACTCAAAACAAGAATGACTGTAAGTCGCTTTGGATAAAAGCGTCTGCTAAATGGCATATTATTATTATTATTATTATAAGAAAATACATACTGATAATGTCACAAAGCTGTATTTTTTGTCTCTGGAAGTCAGCACCTGTCCTCTGCCCCTCCCTCGCTCCTAATCTTCAATCTCACCAAACTGCATTTTTTCGAGTGCTTAGCCCACTGGTGCTCCAATCATTCCACTGACCTGCCCATACACGCTCACAGCTGTACTGTGAGCCAGCCTCACCATTAATCCAAAGGCTTTTGTTGATGGTCAGACAAAGGCTCCTAAGTCCTGGAAATGCTACTGCCCTGAGAAACAATCTTGCCTGAGCATGCTGAAGAGTCTGGACACACATGAGCACACTCTCAGCACACATGTGACCACAACAACACTCAGGACCTGACACATTTAAAGTAACTTTAAAATACATAAATAAATACAACTTTTAAATCCTCTCTTTAAAAATGAGCACATTAAGAATGTGTATTGATTGATATGCCTTTGAATGGAGGGACTCATTTAGTTGCTGACATTTTGTTATGGCCTACATTTTATATTCATTTTGTACCTTGATTAAAGGATGTAATAAGTCATTGAAATATCTTATTGGGTTTATGTGTTGTAAGAATGCATTCTGGAGAATTTTTTTTAGTTGTGATGAAGCTCTGTGAAAGCACTCAACAAATATGGACACTACTCTTGTCAGAATAGGATTGGTGCTGCTTTGAAGCAAGTCAAGCTCAACAGTGACCCCTTGTGGCACACACTACAATTTCTAACATTTTATTTATAGGATTTTGTTGATTATAATGATTATAATGTATCTAAACTTCATGAATGAGTGTGCAGAGTAAAACTGACATTCCTTCCTGATCACCAATGTTATACATCAATTCCTTTACATTAGGTTTTATCAACATTTAATAGAATAGGATGATTTAATATGATTAATTTTAATAGGACATAGAATGATCCTGCATGTACAGACTATTCAGTGATGTTTTCTTTCCTGCATTCATTGTCTCATTGCTTTGTTTTATGGGAATATTTCCTGCCATAATGTCAACCAATCAACATGCATAAGAGGTGTAACTTCATGTAGTGTGGATAATAGAAACAACATTGTTAGTAGTTCCCGCTCAGCAAACATTTATTGGATTCTATGGGCTAGTAGTTAGTAGACCAACTGGTTTCTATGAGTGTTTTGGGTGAGTAGGCTAATTGAGAGTAACAAGAACAGAAACAGGAGTGCTTTGCTGGACCTGTATTTATAGAACATGGAAGAAATTAAACCAGTGAGTAAACTGGTAATTTGAGTAATTTAACTCAAAGAAGTCCAGCTCTCAGTAACAATCACTCTTTGCTTTGTCTATACATTTGCAGCCTATGATAATGCATCACAAAACACTCTAAAATCCATTCCTTTCCTTTAAATCAAAATGGGACCAGCTGCCTAAACATATGGCTATTATTACTGCTTCATTCACTTTTATAATTCATCACGAGCATAGGCAACATATGGCGCATTTCCTGTATGGATTGTTTTACCACATCACAATTATGCATTTCCACAACATTATATCAGGCTAATGCAATGATTAGACAGTGTAGGAGGTGAAGTGTCTGTTTTATTTCTCAGAATGCCCGCAGTCATTGTCCCGACACGAAAGCTACGCCCCTATCAATAGTCTCTCTTCAGCACCACACTTCATCCCAACCTGCCCTCTCCTCTCAAAGGATACAGGGGAGTGACGCAGGAGGATAGACGGAAAAACTGCGCCGAACCTCGAAAGAAGGATTGGGTAGGGGGTGGTGCAATAAGACAAATTATGCACACCCAATTGTAAGTCACGGAACCTCCGTTCCCTAGAACTGAGACCGAAGCACGGCCTGTCTGGTCAGAGGACGCCAGACTCACCTGTTATCTATTTTACGCATCCACCCACTAACCTTTTTATGGATGCGGCTCGAATTTTGACAATTGTTTGAGGTAGGCGAAGGTTAGATATTCGTGTTGACTGTTTTCTCACCGTGACCAGGAGACATATCCTTCCTCGAGTCAATTGAACAGGTCTAAAGCTTGAAGCGGATACAGGCCACTCCATCGTTAGAATTAGAAAATAAAATAATTTAATTGATATACCCATTTTGACGACCTAACTTGGTTTTTCTTCTGCGACTCAGGACTGATTAATTTCCCACTTGATCCTTCTATTCAAATGGAAAAATAGTGTTGGTTATAGGCTATTGGTAAGCTAATTCATCAATTTTTTATTTGCATCAGAGGGGAGGATTCGCCATACACCTTTTCGTAGCCTTTTTTTTTCTTCAACATGAATTACCTGCGTCGTCGGCTGTCGGACAGCAATTTTATGTCCAATTTGCCCAATGGGTACATGACTGACCTACAACGCCCTGACCCGCCTCAGCAAGACCCTGCAGTAGAGTCGCCTGGACCACCAGAGAGGCGTATGTCTACCAACCAACATTCTGAGGGCACTGGAAGCGGAGCCGGAGCTGGCTTTTTATCCTCCTTTACCAAAGCTGTCAAACAAACCACTGCCGCTGTCGCTGAGAAAGTCACCGAGGTAGCAGACAAAGCAGGCGTTGCCTCTGGTGCCAAGATACTCCTGGTTATTGATGACCAACAGACAGACTGGTAAGGAGATTGATGTGTAAGGCTTGACGGCATTAGACTCAAATGTGGGCCAGTAGCCTATGCTCCCAATAAACTGGTCATAATTAGGATATAATTAAAATGTACTATAGTCATAACACACACACGCGCGCGCGCGTAGGCATATAGAGCGAGACAAAGCAAGACTAATACAGTGTATGTCAAAGACATGTTATCCACAGTCATTACCTAAATAGGCCACCGAAATTGCTCGTTTGCACCACCAGCGCATTCCAGGTGGTCTCGCGTCTGCCAGGCATGGTAAACGAGACTATGCTACATATTCAGATGGTTCTGTCGTGACACATAAGGAAGCATGCAGAATGTAAAAATGTTAAAGGGATAGTTCACCCAAATTACAAAATGACACATTGGTTTCCTTTCCCTGTAAGCAGTCTATGGACAAGGTATGACCAGGTCACACTCTGGCCGAGAGCTGTGACTAAACTCATTTCAGTACCATAGAACCGACTACAACACCCTAGGTTTACACCAAGAGCAGAGGTAGCAGATATATTTGAGAATGGGCTTGAATGGAAATACATGAAAGGAAAATCAGAGGCAGGTAATAGGTCAGACACACCGAGAAATTTGACTGTCTACTTAGCACCTCTGCCCAGTGTTGGCAGTTAAAGCTGCTGTATGTAACTTTTTGGGTGACCCAACCAAATTCACATAGAAAGATAAGTTATAGATTGTCATTCTCATTGAAAGCAAGTCTAAGAAGCAGTAGATCTGTTCTATGTTTGCTATTTCTATACTTCCCATTCTTAAGTTTCGTTTTTGCTTCTTTTAATTTCAGTTTTGTACACCAGCTTCAAACAGCTGAAAATACAATATTTGTTGATTATGGAAAATATATTTCAAAGCGGTTTAGATGGTACAATGATTCTCTACACTATACTTGCTTGTTTTGTCACATTAACTGAAATTAGGCAAACTATTAGAATTTTAGCAACCAGGAAATGGCGGAGCAATTTCTGCATAGTGCACCTTTAACCTTTTGTTGTGCATATAGAACAGTTTTACCTCAGATTGGCTCCATTTAAACACGGCAGGTCACAAGGTGGCAGTAGCTTGTTTGGCTTGTGCCTGCTGTAGCTAATGTAAGCTAACTGGCAAGCTGCACTAATGTTGTTGCTAGGTAGAATTTGTAGTAAGCCCTTGGTGAAACTTAGCCACAGCTAGATAACTAGTGTAGCTAGCAACATAATTAAATAACAATGGATTCGTTTTTTGATTGAAGCAGCTGCCTGCTAGCTGTTGAGAGTCAGTGGAGTAGCTAGCTAGTTATGTTGTGCTAAATGGCGATGCAAACCATTTAGCTAACTTTAGCTAGCAAGCAAACTGGCAGTCTGGATAATGGACAGTGGTGTAAAGTACTTTAAAGTACTACTTAAGTCGTTTTTTGGGGTATCTGTACTTTACTATTTATATTTTTGCCAACTTTTACTTTTACTTTACTACATTCCTAAAGAAAATAATACTTTTTACTCCATACATTTTACCTGACACCCAAAAGTATTGGTTACATTTTGACAGGAAAATGGTCCAATTCATAAACTTATCAAGAGAACATCCCTGGTCATCCCTACTGCCTCTGATCTGGCGGACACACTAAATACAAATGTTTTGTTTGTAAATTATGTCTGAGTGTTGAAGTGTGCCCCAGGCTATCCGCCAATAAAAAATAAAAATAAAACGTTGCCGTCTGGTTTGCTTAATATAAAGAATTTGAAATGGTTTATACTTCTACTTTTACTTTTGATACTTAAGTATATTTGAGCAATTCCATTTACATTTGATACTTAAGTATATTTAAAACCAAATACTTTTAGACTTTTACTCAAGTAGTATTTTACTGTGTGACTTTCACTTTTACTTGAGTCGTTTTCTATTTAGGTATCTTTACTTTTACTCAAGTATGACCATTGAGTACTTTTTCCACCGCTGATAATGGAGAGTGAATTAAATGATTTCTTCATCATCTAGATAGCTAGGTTGGTAAATCATTTAGTGTTGTGTGCATTGTGCTGCACTTACCCATTCGTTTCATATGAAGTGTGTGTGACTGCCTGGCGCAGTTGGCAAGCGAACGTTAGCTAGCCAGCCAACAAATGAGCAGGTGCACATTATCAAACTGAACCTAACAAAAAAAAATCCTTCTTCAAGCACAAAACTCCAAAGCTCAATGTGAAAGATGTAAAGACTTGCTCTAGATTTTTGTGTTTATTATGCAGCGTTATTGTTTTAGTTAGGAAGCTCATTTATTTATCTCCCAATTTTGTCTTTTATCAACCATTTTAGCTTCACAACAAAATGGAGGGAGGACATGAAACACAATCAAATAATTGAATCCAACAAAAACAGGTTTCAGTGCAGGTGGAGGTTAACCTTATCCTTAAATCATCATCTCATCCAAGGAATACTTCTCTTTGCAAAACCAAGGCTTCAAAGGCACTCTGCCACAGCCTCCACACAAACATAGCTTAGCTTAGCTTAGCTTAGCTTAGCTTAGCTTAGCTTAGCTTAGCTTAGCTTAGCTTAGTTTAGCTTAGCTCTCACCTGCACCTTCCCCTGGGCGGCCACACCTCAAACAAGGGTTATAAAGGGGCAGGGAAAAACAGTGAGCCAATCACATCAATCAATGAATCAAGCAATAAACAAGCTCTCTGTTAGGAGCACATTGGCAGCTAGAATTTGTGCATCATGTTCAAATCATCTATAAGTGACTTTGTTGAGCTTCACAATCAATTTGAGATACTTGTGTAAGATGCCATGATGATTTATTGTTCCAAAATAGTTAATGTTCTTCTGTTTTATTAAATGTACGTACATGTCACCATCATTTGAGTATGCTTGTGTGATAGGATAGCATTAAAAAAACGGCTGTCCAAAGTAGGCCTAGTTGCTATTCAAGTCAAATATTTTCCTACCCCTCTTGCCTCTCTTCTTTATAGGGTAAAGGTCTTCAAAGGTAAAAAGGTTCATGGTGAATTCGACATTAAGGTGGAACAGGTGGGTTGCTCTTGCACCTTTGTTTTTACATTGTCTCTTTTCCCTGTAGAATTATTTTGGTGACTGGTTTTCCCATACAAGGCATTAAAGACATTGTGCTTTTTGTAGAATAAAGGGGTGTTTGTGTGAACGAAAGAAGAACAATTTAAGATAGAGTTAGCTTTATATTTAAGTAATTTAGCAGATGGTCTTATCCAGAGTGACATACAGTAGTTAGTGCATACATTTTAATTGGTCCCCCATGGGAATTGAACCCACAACCTTAGCGTTTCAAGTGCCATGCTCTACCAACTGAGCCACACAGGAGTTGGAGAGGTAATTTGAGGTAATACAACACCTAATGAGGCTCACAGGCCACCTCATGATGGGCATTATTGAGTGCAGGGATTGAAGCACACAGATAGACAACCCCTGCATCTAGTGACATTTTCAAACTGTGCATTGATGCTGCAGACCTACACTTACTGTATGCAATAAACAATGAATCAAAGAAAACACAAGACATAATTCACATATTGAATTATTGTTAAGTGGACTGAGAGTTGGATAATCATTAAGTGTGATAAAATGTTTTTGTCACCCTGAATCTGATAGCAATATCTATGGAAAATAAGATGATCTTATGGACCCCAAAACATTTATACCCGGTGGTGGAGTTAATGCTACCATCTGTGCTTTGTAAATGAAGACTTGAACATGTTTTGGGATTATTTTCTCTGCCTTGGGGCATTTTCCATCTCTCCTATTTCTTTCTTCTCCTTTTACTGTATGTTGCATTAGAGAGTTTCCGCTATGTGTGCCATGAGTCTCTCAGGAGTAATAGCCCTGTGCAATGAATGTCTCATTATCTGCAGAGGTGATAGTCGTTACCTTGTACAATCTGCCTCATAGTATTTGGGGACAAAAGCCATTGAATTAATACAGTAGGGTATTCCACACCATCTGTCTTGAACAGTACCAGTCAAAAATTTGGACACACCATTCAAGTTTTATTTTTTATTTTTACTATTTTCTACATTGTAGAATAATAGTGAAGACATCAAAACTATGAAATAACACATATGGAATCATGCAGTAACTAAAGAAGTGTTAAACAAATCAAAATATATTTTATATTTGAGATTCTTCAAAAAGCCACCCTTTGCCTTGATGACAGCTTTGCACACTCTTGGCATTCTCTCAACCTGCTTCACCTGCAAAGCTTTTCCAACAGTCTTGAAGGAGTTCCCACATATGCTTAGCCCTTGTTGGCTGCTTTTCCTTCACTCTGCCACCCGACTCATCCCAAACCATCTCAATTGGGTTGAGGTTGGGGGATTGTGGAGGCCAGGTCATCTGATGCAGCACTCCATCACTCTCCTTCTTGGTAAAATAGCCCTTACACAGCCTGGAGGTGTGTTGGGTAATTGTCCTGTTGAAAAACAAATGATAGTCCCACTAAGCCCAAACCAGATGGGATGGCGTATCGCTGCAGAATGCTGGTAGCCATGCTGGTTAAGTATGCCTTGAATTCTAAATAAATCACAGACAGTGTCACCAACAAAGCACCCCCACACAATAACACCTCCTCCTCCATGCTTTACGGTGGGAACTACACATGCAGAGATAATCCGTTCACCCACAAAGACACGGCGGTTGGAACCAAGAATCTCCAATTTGGACTCCAGACCAAAGGACACATTTCCACCGGTCTAATGTCCATTGCTCGTGTTTCTTGGCCTAAGCAGGTCTCTTCTTCTTATTGGTGTCCTTTAGTAGTGGTTTCTTTGCAGCAATTCGACCATGAAGGCCTGATTCACACAGTACCCTCTGAACAGTTGATGTTGAGATGTGTCTGTGACTTGAACTCTGTGAAGCATCTATTTGGGCTGCAATTCCTGAGGCTGGTAACTCTAATGAACTCATCCTCTGCAGCAGAGGTAACTCTGGGTCTTCCAGTCCTCATGAGAGCCAGTTTCATCATAGCACTTGATAGTTTTTGCGACTGCACTTGAAGAAACTTTCAAAGTCCTTGAAATGTATTGACTGAACTTCATGTCTTAAAGTAATGATGGACTGTCGTTTCTCTTTGCTTACTTGAGCTGTTCTTGCCATAATATGGACTTGGTCTTTTACCAAATAGGGCTATCTTCTCTATACCCCCCTACCTTGTCACAACACAAATGATTGGCTCAAAAGTATTAAGAAGGAAATAAATTCCACAAATTAACTTTTAAGAAGGCACACCTGTTAATTGAAATGCATTCCAGGTGACTACCTCATGAAGCTGGTTGAGAGAATGCCAAGAGTGTGCAAAGATGTCATCAAGGCAAATGGTGGCTATTTGAATAATCTCAAATATAAAATATATTTTGATTTGTTTAACACTTTTTTGGTTACTACATGATTCCATATGTGTTATTTCATAGTTTTGATGTCTTCACTATTATTCTACAATGTAAAAATGATGTTTGACTGGGATTGCAACCTGTTACGAATTTGCAAAACGTACAATATACTAAGAGTTAGGGTTAGGGATTAGGGTTAAGATTAAGGTTAGGGTTAAATTTAGGAGTTAGGTTAAAGGGTTAAGGTTAGGGGAAGGGTTAGCTAAAAGGGTTAAGGTTAGGGTTAGGTGAAGGGTTAGCTAAAATGGTTACGGTTAGGGTTAGGGTGAGGGGAAGAGTTAGCCAACATGCTAAGTAGTCGCAAAGTAGATACAAATTAGTAAGGAGTTGAAAAGTTGCTAATTAGCTAAAATGCTTAAGTTGTCTATGATGAGACCTTACTTTTGTTTTTGCCTTAATTATCCATCTGTCTTATGTAACCATACAAACGTAACATATCATACTAAATGGAGTATTTTGGATTTACGTACAGAATAATACAAAATAATCTGAGACCAGGTTGGGGATTGACACTGATGTTTTCCATTCAGGCTGACTTCTCTGAAATCAACTTGATAGCTCATGCTACGGGGGCCTATAGTGTTGATATAGAAGCAATCCGGAATGAAACCAAGGTCACCAAGTAAGTCTACTGTACATCCTTTGAATACAGTGTTCTACGTGCTGTTTAAAGGCTGAGTGCATTCAAAAACATGATTTTCATGTGTTTTATATTTCCACACTATGAGGTTGGAATAATACTGTGAAATTGTGAAAATGATGATAATGTCCTTTTAGTGTAAGAGCTGCTTGAAAAGACCACCTGGTGACAGTCCTAGCTAAAGTCTTGCTTGAGAAATTGCTCTTTGTGAAGAAGCTATTTTTGTTTATTTTTGACCATTTTAATTTAAAGCAATCACAGCAAGATACTTAATTGTTACCCAGAAATTATTTGATATTGAGAAAAAAACTGCTGCATTGGACCTTTAAGATAGTCATAAACAAAACAAAGATAATCAGTGTGTCATGATTTCTGATGTTACAAGACATGCAGGATTTCTTACAGGTTTCAAGTGCAATACCAGAATAAAATGTTCATATGTCTGTCTGAATATAATGTATTGATAATTTGTGGAATTGTTTTGTATTTTCTATTTTGCAAGATGTTTCAGGCCTGACTTTGTGCTGGTTAGGCAGCATGCCTTCAGTATGGCCAAGAATGGAGACCACCGACACATAGTGATTGGGTTGCAGTATGCTGGTCTCCCAGGTGTAAACTCTCTGCACTCTGTCTACAACTTCTGTGACAAACCATGGGTGGTAAGTAGTGTTGCCCGGTATACTAAAACTTCGGTACTTTTTTTATGCTAGAACATAAAAAATGGTTTGGTACTAGATTTTTTGTTACTTTCGGTACTTCTATCAAATGTGGCTCACGTCGTCTAGTAATTGAGAGAGGATCACGTCTGTCTATCAGCGCAGCCGATGTCCCCTTACAGCGCACCGTGCCTGCTCCACTTAAGGCAGCCGCATACATAGGTTAGGTTTGCTTCTAGCAGAACTCGGCTATGCGAAACGAACGTCTGTGCTCTGCAATATTACTGTTGTTTGTCCCTCTTGAGCCACCGTAGCTATAACATACCCAGTAACACTTTCTCAAAATAGGCTGAATTAATCTAAGATAAATCAAAAATCTGTAATTCATTTTGACATCTAACTAAGATGTTTGGTGCAGTATTTCTCAACTGGAAAAATGTGCATGAAACCTAGTCTTCTCTCGTTGAATGACAATGAACACTTCATTGAATAATCCCGTCCATAGCTCCCACTCCTACTAGGAGTAGGACTATTGACCAATCACTGATGAAGGGGCGTAGACTTCGGCTACCGAACCTCAACTTGTGTCAAGAACAAATGTTGTGTGCACGAACAGCCGAAAAAAAACCTGCCGAAGACCAAAACGAACCAAAACGTCACAAAATCTAATCATAGTATATGCACAAACTGTTTTGACTGGGAAGCATACGGTATGCTTAACTCATTGCTAGTTCTAGCCTGTCCCGAAGGAACCACTGCACTCACTGGGAGTCTGGGCTCCTCAAGTTAACACACTTGAATAATGCAACACGGCAAAATGTTGCAACTGTTAATTACTGTTCGCAAAACAATGTCCATTACATGCAAAGAACACTTTCAATGCAAGAAGATACCGGTAGCTCCCAGCTTTGTAGGCTAACTTTCCTTTCTAGCTTACAGCTGAAGCTAACATCAATTCACTACCCTGGTACGTTGTTTGTGATAATATGCAAACCATAACGCAAAACATGCTGATTTCAGTCGGGATTTTAGCATGTAAATCTTGGTGGGGCAAAAAATATATATATATTATGTAAACGCATGCCAGCAAAGCCACTACACAACACAACAGTAAACAATACATTAATTGCACTATAACGGTGACAAACGGTGCCCACAAACTGTTAGGGCCTACATAAAGCTTTCCCAACAGCAGAGCTTTCTTTTCAGTACCATGGAGTGAATCCTTACCACTGCTACACCTGGCTGTCTTGTCTGGCAGCGAAACAGTTCATTCAATCTCATTTACTGCCTTTTTTAAAAACATAGCTGATATGGCTGACTTGCTTAAACAAATGTGGTTTCTACTGACAATTGAGATGTACAAACTATGGCATAAGGGAACGATGAGCCGATAAGAGGCAATCCGTAATTTCGATTAAGACATTAATGAGCGAGCTAAGACGGATGTAGTCAATATAACTATTTGTTCAGCACTTTTGAACATGGGCCGTTCTTACAGTATTCTCCCTGTACACCAAGTCAGAACTGTAGGATAAATAAAGGGGGCATATAAGCAGACAATTTAAGCTCTTATAATATTTGATGATGACATTTCTCTAGAACAGGCTATAGGCTACATGTGCACCACCAAGTCAGAACAGTAGGCTAAGTTATGAGGGGGAAAGTGACCAAATTATTAGGGTGAGGCACATGGGCTACTAACAGCTCACTACACAACATACACTTAGTATTGCTTTCTTAGCTACTGTATACATATCTCCCTGGCATATTACATAATTTATGCAGCAGCATACAATACATTTTTGTGCTGTGCTTACTTGAACAGGAAGGTGGCACGGCAGTCCTTCTTGTGGGCAGATTTTGTCATCAAACTTTGTCATCAAAGTCTGGCGTTCTCTGGATATATAGTGCTTTCAAGACAACTGAGAACTCTGAAAAAAACAGGGTCGAATCATGACGTCAGTGATCTTCAGGTCAGAGCTCTAGAAAGAGGCCTGAGTTCCCAACTTGGAATTCCGAGTTGGATGACCATTCAAAACTTATTTTCCCAGTGGGGCTCGTTTTTTTCAGAGTTCCCAGTTGTGTTGAACTCACTGAAGTCTGAGATTTCCCAGTTCCGAGTTTCCAGTTGTTTTGAATGCGGCAGAAGTAATGCTGGATTGACAGCATGGCCAATGTTTTTAACCTTTTCTGGCCCATGGTGTTGCATGTGAATGTTTATCCTTTTAAGCTTGGAAAATAGACCCTTAAACCCAGACTTGGACCACACACCCTCTCCATTGAATAGCAGGCTATTGATTGCTTTGCAACACTTGCAGTTAGCCACTGATTACTTCCAAACCACTCATTGTTGAATTTGCGATTTCCATCTTGTTGTGTAATGTTTATGTCCAATGGCCGATGAGCACCGATACGTTTTATCTATAATTTCTCTTCATATGACAAGGATCGAAAAGGATTTGCCAGTAGATTGTCGACTTGATTCATGATGATGACTGCTTGTCTAGCTTGCTAGCTAAGATTTTGAAAGTATGATGTTGACATGATCAGTCCAATCAAAGCTACGGTAGATATAATGTGATTTGACGTCATTTTATGTGTGGCCAATGACCTTGAGCCTTCTTGGATGGGCACTTCTAATGTAAATCAATGGCAGCACCCAAGGGGCTTGAATTTTCAAGCTCTCCCCATAGATGTTGCAGTGACTAGTCTCCCCATGAGTGACAGAACACTGAGCCCATCACGGCACAACTAGAGAACATTACCAACCCCTACGCTTTTTATTTTCCGCTGGCTGCCCCACCACCACAGAAAGCACTGAGCTAGGCTGAAACACCTGCATTTTGAAGCTGCCTTACTCAAGAAAACAAAAAAGAGACCATGTTTGTATGCGGCTTTATTAACTCAATGATGTTTTCTTTACATTGTTTGCAAACTGATATGTGACACGTATTAATGCCAAAATAACATGCAAAACAGGCAACAGCTAAACAGGTGGGGCTCAAAACAATGAATGATGGGTCGCCACTGGCTGATTTCAAAGCTGATTGTCACCAAAAACCATACAGTCATTGCAAAAAACATTATTCATTCACTTCGTCTCCCTCGCCTCAGTCACATCACTCCTGTTTCTCTCGCTGTGTGTGAATGACGTCATTAGATCTTAAAGAGACAGTGCACACCTTTATAAAAGAAGAGATTGCTTCTTCTACTGTATGCAAATGTTTTTGATCAGTACTATAAAATAGGTCCCAAATGGAAAGGAAACAGATCATTTTCCATCTGTAACCCCATGAAATCCGCCAAAATAAGCTCAATAACTCAATGGATGCACATACTCCTATTGAATATGCATTCACCTGTATTGTGAATAGGCCTAGTCTACAGCTTGATTTAATAATCAGATTACCGTTATGTACTTAGATTGGTAAAAACAAAGTCAAATTGTTTGTATGCTTGTATAATTGATTCATTAATACATACATGGCTGTCTCTGAAAAATGGACATCAAACATTTCAAATGTAATGATATTGAACTCAAAAGATCTGTCTGGATCATGTGCCATTATGTGACTTTGGCTAATACGCCTTCTTTTTCTGCCATGGTATCGTTTTGGTATCGTTTTTAATATCGTTTTGGTATGAAGTATCATGATGGTATCGAGTATTGTGATACTAAAAGTCTGACAACACTAGTGGCAATATAAAGCAGATGAAATGTTGTTTTTCTTTCTTTTTCTGTTCCTCCTAATCTAATTCAAGTATACAGACACTGACTGCTAGACAGATCATGACTATTGATTTAACTGTAAAGGTAACCTCTTTTGTGTATTATCATGTCTCGTTTCAGTTTGCTAATATGGTGAGATTGTACAAACAACTGGGACCAGAGGAATTCCCACTGATCGAGCAGGTTTACTATCCCAACCACAGGGAAATGGTGGGTGTTCTGCCATCTGCTTCTCTCTACTCCTCCCCCACCACGACATGACCATGTCCTCACACTAAACAGACCTAAGCACAGTCTAATAGGTTGCCCCTCTGTTTGGATGACACACATGTTTCTGTGTCCAGTAAGACTAAGACAAGGACAAAGGAATAGCTAGCTCACATCAATATTCTCAGATCTAATTACAGCAATCTATCTTAATACTGGCTCTGATCAGACTCAGGGTGCATTTGTACAGGTCCTAGTAGAGCCAGAGTAGGTTTGATTATTCCTATGCCCTATGGATCCCCTCAGTAGCACTGCACTGAGATCAGTGTCTGTGTCTGTGTTGCCGCAGTGCTGCCCCCCTCCACCCCTGCAGTCTCAGGCCTGCTCTCGGCTCAGCTCGCCTCAACGATCAACATGAATCATTCCATAACTGGAGTTTTACTTCTCCTTTTTGGGCTCATGCTGGCCTCAGCATTTTTCACACAATGAAGTAGATGTAGATTTTGTAATTACAAGGCTTCTCACTCAGTTGATTTCACTGTAGCATCTTATCTATATAGCCCACTAAAACTTGAAGTGGCTTTCTTATTTAGCTGCATCCTGACACTTTCAGCAAATAACAGCAACTTTGAGTTTATAGTTTACTCAATTAGCAATTTACTAAGAAATGCTGTGCTGTACATTACCTTTAGTCAAACAAACATACATGTCTGAAGACTGTGTAGTATGATGTTTGCCAATGGAGGATGTTGTGTTGTCTTTTGCTCCAGATCACCACTCCTGGTTTCCCTGTGGTGGTGAAAATGGGCCACGCCCACTCAGGGATGGGAAAGGTAGGACTGGACTGCTCTTGTTACTGTTGTAAATGAGATAAAGTAGGCCTGGATCAGTGTTTATGCTTCACAAGTCATTACTATGAACTTAATCTTATTCAATCATATCTTTACCCTGTAGGTGAAAGTGGACAATCAATATGACTTCCAAGATATTGCCAGTGTTGTTGCCCTGACCAAGACCTATGCCACATCTGAACCTTTCATTGACGCAAAGTACGATGTCCGCATCCAAAAGATTGGAGACAATTACAAGGCCTACATGTGAGTGAAATAAATGAGCTCCTTGTTGTGGTGTGACTCTGAGGTCAATCCATTCTACACATTTCCAAGCTATTTAGCACAGGCTACAGATCAAAGACCAACTAGATCCATTTAGACTGCATATCCCAACATGGATGTGAATTAGATGATCAAGAGAGAACATGCTAAATGGTAGATCTTGTCTTTTTAACAGGCGGACATCGATTTCAGGGAACTGGAAAACCAACACTGGTTCAGCCATGCTGGAGCAGATAGCCATGTCAGACAGGTCAGTGCTAACACAGACTGGGCCTTTGTGCATCAGACAGACAGCAGTGGGTTCCGTAGTTAGTAACGGTGTTCTCCAACATCATAGGTATCGGATGTGGGTGGACTCCTGCTCTGAGGTGTTTGGTGGTTTGGATATGTGCGCTGTGGAGGCTCTGCATGGGAAAGATGGCAAGGATTACATCATAGAGGTAAAGGATTAGAAGTATTTTAAACTATTTACATCAAGTTGCTCTTATACCTGTGTAGTAACACTGTAATAACACTGATATCAACATTGTATTAACATTTCATTTCCCCTCTCGTTCTCGCAGGTGGTGGGCTGCTCCATGCCCCTGATTGGAGACCAGCAGGATGAAGACCGTGCTCAAATTGCAGAATTGGTCGTCTCCAAAATGAATCAGACAGTCCCACACACTGCAAGTCCCTCTGCTGTCCGCCCCACAGCTGCACAGCCCGCACAGGTGACACACTGTTGCTAACCACAACTCAGTTTATTACACTTATAATGAGTTAACAATTGTCAAAAGGTGTGTGTTTAGATGAGTGGTCTCTTTTGTTAATTGGCCAGTATATTTGGTCAAAATATCAACTAAAAGTGTATTTGTAACCCATTAACTCTGTGTCTCATTGTGATATGTTGGCCATGCAGAAAGCTGCATCCCCTCAGCCCATCTCACAACCCAAAGTGCCACAGGCTCAGCAACGCCCTCCTCCACAAGGTAAGACAATGGATCTATATTAAGGTCCCAAATCCCAATGGACACTATTTGCTTTTGTGCATTAGCTGGTAATAAGATAGCTACATTGTTGTTTTTAAATGACTGCTTGATAGGGACTCTGGACTCTGGATAAACAGTGCTCTGTCTCCTCCAGGTGGCCCACAACAGGCCCCCACCAGCACTGCTGCCCCTCGCCAAGGCCCCCCCTCCCAGCAGCGCCCCTCACCCCAAGGCCAGCCCCCTGCACATGCCCAGCCCCCTGCCCCCAGCTCCAACACCCAGAACCCCCCTGCCCAGGCACCACAGCAGGCCAGACAGGCCAACCCAGGAGCTGGGGCCCAGCAGCGTCCCCCAGGGCAGGGGCAGAAACCCCCCTCTGTTCAGGGCTCCCCCCAGCGATCCATGAGCCAGGGGGGCTCCCCTCAGAGCCAGAGGCCACAGCAGTCAGGTCCCCAGCAGCAGCAGAGACCTCCCCCTGGAGGCCAGGGCCAGAAGCCCACAGGGGGCCAGCCCCAGCAGAGGCCCCAGCAGAAGCCAGGCCAGCCCGCCAGGCAGCAGTCCCAGGGAGGAGGTTCCCAGGCCCCCCAGCAGCAGAGGGCTCCAGCCCAGCAAGGTCGCCCCGGGGCCCCTACCACTCAGCAGCCCCGCCCTAGTGCCCAGGGCCAGGGAGGCCCCGGAGGGAAACCCCCTCTGCAGCAGAAGCCCCAGCCCCCGCTGAAGCCCAGCCATGACCACCCTGCTATGGGAGCCACCCCTCCACTGAAGTAAGCAAAGCTTTCCTAAAATATTCCAAAACATTCAATACAATATACTTTTAGCTTACTGTATCCTAACTGTATTACTCAATAGCTCAATATTTGATGTAACATCCTCCTGTTGTTTTTGCCAGATGTAAATTGACACCAGTCAGCCACACAGGATGCTCTGTCTATCTCACTCTAAAATAAGGATGGTTGTATAACTGATGAGAGGATTCTATGTTCCAGATTTAGCTTTCATTTATTTTTTATCTTCACCATGGGGACTGATGTGCATGATCCTGTTATTCCTGTAGGCTAGATATTGAGATAAATATAGAATATGCAAATAATCTATGTTTTGTAATGGGATATGTTAGAAGATCTTCATAGTGTGATTCGTTATTTGATCGACATTACAAATGTTTGGACTGGGTGTGCATGAATCACTCATATGCCTAAATCTTGTGGACTTTTTTGTATTATGTAAAATCATGCTCAAAGGAAGGTTTTTTCACACTTTGTGTACTGCACACTATTCCAGAAGCCTTTTTCAAATGACTGCCATCAACTAGAATTTCCTGCACTCCCTCAAACCTTTTCTTTGTTTGACAAACCTTGGGACTTTGTTGTAGTTAATATTTTGTACTCCCCTTTATCATTGGTCTACAAAATAATTTGCAGAAACTGTAGAATTGTGTGTTAAAATAATTACAATTGAGCATGCGATTATATGCATGACTGATCAAGTTTTGATTCAGATTATTCTTCACAGGGTTAAACTATAACATTAAATGTGTCCAATTTCAGGATACACTGAAAAAGTCATGAAGACATGGTGGCTATTACTTTTCCATTGATGACCAGGAAATTACAAGGACCATTTTTGATCATGCTAGATTTCATGGTCTCATTGACGAGAGGTTGGTATTGTATTAAATACCATCGGTATGACCATGTTCAATTTCTTAGTAATTCTCTGGTGATTAATGAAAAATGAAGTTTTTACATAATTTAAAACTAGAGTAGTGTTCTTAGAAAAAGGAAGAAAGGAATCGCTGCTAGGATACACAACAGTAGGTCTTTGTAGATTGAAGGTGCTCTTTGGTGAAGGGGTTAATTGGTCATTAAAAAAACAAGGAAGAGCAAGGTACTCGTCATATCATTAAAATACCTTTATTGGTACGGCATGTTCAATGGAACAAAGATTTAAAAGAGCAGTGTTCCTTAGTGCATGTGATAGAGGGCACAAATGTGGAAGGAGTCGGAGAAAGTGTTATGTAGTAGATTATGTAGGCTTCTAGAGTATATTGCATCAGGAATATGGCTTTAACAAGCTATTAACAGTCAAAGCTGCAAGCAATTCCTTCAATTCATTTCTCGTTGTGCCCTCCAGAACTAGGAACCCTGGTCAAAATAAAAATAGAAAAAGAGCATGCGTTTGCATACAGATCAGTCATTCACTGATCAAGTTGAGCTGATCAATGCACTGAATCAGTTATGTAATGAATTACATTACATACTGAAGGAACTCGTCTCTCTCTCTCACTTTCTCCAGCCATGCCCTAGTCTTACCATTCCATGGGTTTGCTGCATGACGTTAATAGCCTCTTCCTCTCCTCTATTGCCATTTCCTCTCTTTATAGCAAGTCCCAGTCTCTTACCAATGCCTTCAACATTCCAGAAACCCCAGCCCCGCAGGCCAGCCTTAGCCAGGACGAGGTGAAGGCTGAGACCATACGCAACCTACGCAAATCTTTTGCCAGTCTCTTTTCAGACTGAGAGATGGAGTAAGCCCCCCTCCCACACCGACAGAAAGACAGACAGACTGAAAGACAGACCCTTCCCTGCCAATGCGCAAAGGACCAACAGGACTTCACCTCCCTATTATTGACATTGATGTACATTGATGTGAAACTGCATTATACAACACCCACTGCCTATACATATCAAGACCACACATAGACTATAATACAGCTAGGTTTGTTGGTGTCAGTCTGAAACATTCCCAGTCACCTTCCCATTCAAAATGATTTGTACACTCACACACACACACACACACACACACACACACACACACACACACACACACACACACACACACACACACACACACACACACACACACACACACACACACAAACAAACAATTATCTTGTTGTTGCACGTGTGTTTAAATTTCTGAAAAAAGTAAGGGTGAAGATTCTTGTCCCTTTATAAATGGTGTTTATACAGTGACTGTTTGTATGGTATGTATTGAAAGATATCTGCTTGGTCATCCTTTGATCATTTTGAATGTTTTTTATGCTAATAGTGGGATCAATACACTGGTAATCTTCATGAAAGTGTTCCCAGTTTTCTGTTGTTACTGTAAAATCATAGTGACACTTTTGACCAACTTTTGGTTGGCTCTCAAAGGAACCATCACTCAGTTCATTGTTACAGTAAAGCAACACAACATCTGTTTGAGCTACCCATTTATTCTAAGTGATGTTGTTTTAGATGCATGTCAATAAAGGAGGTATGGTTGCAGTTTCAACCACTCACTTTGGCGCTTGTAAACGTGTTGTCACATGTAATTAGCTAGAGTAGTTAGCATAGCAAAAGGATGTGTTTTTTGTGAGAATGCCGTTGCTGCCTCCCTCTCCCTTCTTCTGTTAGGACAAAACCCCAATAGCTCTCAACTTGGAAAACATGCCTTACACAGACACAGAGTTCAGTCAGATCAAATGGTGTTGTCTCAGGGATGTCCTGGTGATTGTGACACATGCGTGTCAGGAGTCAGGTCTTCCATACGTTGCACTGTAATTAGGATAATGATCTACTGCAAATGAAAGCAAAAGCATGTGTTTTTATTGAGGTAGAATGTATTTGTTCTTTGAAATGTATTTGCACACGAAGTATAACAAAATCATACTTGAATACATGAGCCAAGAGATATTTTTTAGATTTTAATGTCAGTTTGTCAGATTGCAGAGACACAGCCAGCTTAGTACTCTATTTTACCAGCCCACAAGGGCCTGTAATGCTGCTGTCTCTGTGAGTGGAGAGTGTCTGGGTGCCTGTCCTGTCTGTCCCCTGGCTCCCCAACAGGGTCACAGCTTGTGAGCAGGAGTACAAAGAAATGCTCAGCCAAGGAATGTCCCATGGATCATGTATGCAGTGTAAAATAAATGCACTGGTATTCCCCCTGTGAGATATACCACTGCATTATACTTCTGTTTGATTTTTTACTCATAACACTTTCTCCCCAAAATATAAATCAATGACCCCTTTGATAATTGGTCAGAAATAGAGCCCATTGCTGAAACCTCTTTCTAGGGCACTAAACATGTCTTCCAAAAAGAGTGTGTTCCATGTCAACATGGCAATATGTTTTTTTGGAGCCAATTCGGAAAGTCCCTATCTCCCTGCAAAGCCCCTGCGCATCGCCTCCTTTGTGTATCCACAGTGACCCCTTGTGATAAGTGGTGCATAAACGTGTTCATGTTGTTCTGTAAAACTGTCAAACCAAATAGAAATGTTGTACAGATAGTGACATACAAATTATGCAGATTCGTCACGTTTTCACCCCTGCTGCTGGCTGTGCTTGTTAATATTTTGTGTGTTTTCAATGAATACTTGTGGATCTTGGTTGATTTTTGGCATTTCTATCATTCATTTTTGGGAATTAAGCCCTTTTTAGTACTGGCATTTACTTTTTGAAGAAGCTTTTTTAACTTCAGTTTCTCTTCTATTCAGGATTACGTCTTTGTTTTTCGAACGTCTCTTAAACTTCTAATCATAGGACTCAAATGTAAATCATAACTCAGCAAACAGAATTGTCATGGTATACCATTTTGTGTGGATCACAGAAACCTCAAATGATACCTCCTACAAATCTGTGAAATTAACTTGTCTGGATGAAGGCATGATTGGCATGCATTGCTACTGTTTTACTCTGCTCTCTGCCTCTGCTTGTAACAGAGTGGTATGCTTTCCATCCTATAACTCATAGCTATGTTTGGAGTTATAATCCTCCTGTGGATTATACATTGGGGTGGCATGATAACAAGTGGTTATCTTGATGAATCCTATTTGTTGATATTCATAGATGTGTGTGTTGACATGGTACATGTTTCTTTTAAATGTTTACATTATTTTTAATAGATATATTTGAATGTATGTTTACAATTGGTAGGCTATGCCTTTTTCCTTTGGTAAAGTGGTTTTCCCGTTTCTAAATGCAGGTTTTTTATTTTGTAAAAGTTTTATCTGTTATCTGCACTATGAATTTCTGTGAAATTGATTGTCAATATTGATGCCTGCCAGATGTATAAAATAAGAAATCTATATATGTATCTAAAATAAACAACAATCAAGAGGAAATATTAAATATTAAATATATTGTAAATCATGGTGGAGTGTTAAAATACCTGTAGAAACGTATATTTGATGTTATTTGCAATGTAGCTGAATAATTATGTGAAAATTACTATGCTATCAACATGCGCACATATTCAATAAAGTTCAAGACCAATAGTGACATTGATTCTTTTTTATGTGCAAATGATGAATGATTCAGATAAAAAAATAACTTATCATTGAGTAGATATGATGACAGCAAGCCCAGAGAAAAACGGTGAATGGCCAATGGCTCATTGCCTCTGTGGAGTTATAGCATAGTTGCATACAGTACAGTCCCACTGGCTATCCTAAGTTGAATGCACCAATTTGTAAGTCGCTCTGGATAAGAGCGTCTGCTAAATGACTTAAATGTAAATGTAAAATAAGCTATTCTATACATAATGTTTGACTCAATAACATTGGTGTAATAAGGTTTAGCTCTACCAATGTAACCACAAGGTGGTGCAGGGTTGCAGTCTGACTGAGCAGCCAGATAAAGGCCTTTACAGTATGTACTGTGAACTTTATCACACGCACAATGCACCAAAATGAGATCCTAGTTTCAAAATACAGTATCTAGAGTGGAATGGCCTTAATTATTGGTGTCTTTTCTGATGATGTCTTTCTTATCATTTGTATTTATTTATTTTATTTTACCTTTATTTAACCAGGTAAGCCAGTTGAGAACAAGTTCTCATTTACAACTGCGACCTGGCCAAGATAAAGCAAAGCAGTGCGATAAAAACAACAACACAGAGTTATATATGGGGTAAACATAAAGTCAAAAATACAACAGAAAATATATATACAGTGTGTGCGAATGTAGTAAGTTATGGAGGTAAGGCAATAAATAGGCCATAGTGCAAAATAGTTACAATTTTGTATTAACACTGGAATGATAGATGTGCAAAAGATGATGTGCAAATAGAGATACTGGGGTGCAAATTAGCAAAATAAATAACAATATGGGGATGAGGTAGTTGGGTGGGCTAATTTCAGAAAGGCTGTGTACAGGTGCAGTGATCGGTAAGCTGCTCTGACAACTGACGCTTACAGTTAGTGAGGGAGATAAGAGTCTCCAGCTTCAGAGATTTTTGCAGTTCGTTCCAGTCATTTGCAGCAGAGAACTGGAAGGAATGGCGGCCAAAGGAGGTGTTGGCTTTGGGGATGACCAGTGAGATATACCTGCTGGAGCGCAGACTACGGGTGGGTGATGCTATGGTGACCAGTGAGCTAAGATAAGACAGGGATTTGCCTAGCAGTGATTTATAGATGACCTGGAGCCAGTGGGTTTGGCGACAAATATGTAGTGAGGGCCAGCCAACAAGAGCGTACAGGTCACAATGGTGGGTAGTATATGGGGCTTTGGAGACAAAACGGATGGCACTGTGATAGACTACATCCAATTTGCTGAGTAGAGTGTTGGAGGCTATTTTGTAAATGACATCGCCGAAGTCAAGGATCGGTAGGATAGTCAGTTTTACGAGGGCATGTTTAGCAGCATGAGTGAAGGAGGCTTTGTTGCGAAATAGGAAGCCAATTCTAGATCTAACTTTTGATTGGAGATGCTTAATGTGAGTCTGGAAGGATAGTTTACAGTCTAACCAGACACCTAGGTATTTGTAGTTGTCCACATACATAGGTCAGACCCGCCCCGAGAGTAGTGATTCTAGTCGGGTGGGCGGGTGCAAGCAGCGTTCGGTTGAAGAGCATGCATTTAGTTTTACTAGTGTTTAAGAGCAGTTGGAGGTTACGGAAGGAGTGTTGTATGGCGTTGAAGCTCGTTTGGAGGTTTGTTAACACAGTTTCCAATGAAGGGCTAGATGTATACACAATTGTGTTGTCCGCAAAGAGGTGGATTCGAGCGTCACCAGCAGCAAGAGCGACATCATTGATATACACAGAGAATAGAGTCGGCCCGAGAATTGAACCCTGTGGCACCCCCATAGAGACGGCCAGAGGTCCAGACAACAGGCCCTCCGATTTGACACATTGAACTCTATCTGAGAAGTAGTTGGTGAACCAGGCGAGGCAGTCATTAGAGAAACCAAGGCTATTTAGTCTGCCAATAAGAATGCGGTGGTTGACAGAGTCGAAAGCTTTGGCCAGGTCGATGAAGACAGCTGCGCAGTACTGTCTTTTATCGATCGCGTTTATAATATCCAACCGAACGCTGCTTGCACCCGCCCACCCGACTAGAATCACTACTCTCGGCGGGTCTGACCTAGAGTATGTGGACAACTACAAATACCTAGGTGTCTGGTTAGACTGTAAACTCTCATATTGTTGTAAGGACAGAAATAATGTTTTATTGTTTGGAGAACATGTTATAAGTGAAAGAGATATACAGTATATATTATACCACAGGTTGGAGCCACCTTAACAGGAATGAATGCAACACGCTTGAACCATATTACAGCAACAAAAGAGCTGTAGAGTATATTCTAAATGTCTGGTAACCTTGTAAGATTTTACCCTACTTTCATGCATGATATGCCAGCTATGCGAAAGGGATAATGAATATAGTATGAGGTGGCAAAATACGATTTAGTGCCAGTATTACTATATCCAAAAAGCCCAACGTTCAAATTATCCTATTAATTAAAAATGAGCCGGCATGCATGCACAGAAAATATCCAAAGCTGATCATGGTAGAGCCTTTTTTTTTTT